TGACAAATTTCCTTTTTCAAAAGCGCTGAACCTACGATAGTGGGGAGTGTATATCGGCTACTCGTTTCACAGTAAACGCGTTTACTTGGGTGATGATCAATCTTTGGCGCAAGCGGCCGCTTAAGTACATTTGTTGGTGTTTGTCAAACACACAGAGAGTGCCACTAGCCCGCAAGGGGTTACAGAGAGTGAGAGTAACAGTAAAGAGGAGTGTTTAGGAAAAGGATAAAGAGAAGGACAGGGATCAAGGTCAAGCCATCAAAAGATGTCGATTGACATTGCATTTGAATATTCGAAGATTATAGCTATCAGGGAAGCAAGTAACAGGAGGGGAGTTTCACTGATGCAAGATAAGAAGCTGTTGAAGTAGAAGAGATGGCTACAATTAACCGTTTCGACAGTGAAACAGTGGGACCGATATGCCAACCTAGTAGCGCGTTTAAATTAATGCAATTTCGGAACCAGTGAAAGTCACTCCTCGGAGCAGTTGCCATGAAAGTACTTGTAGAAAACGCAGAGGGAAGCCACAATACGCCTGTGAGACAGCGACTGCAGACGGGATGCCAGAACAGAAACAACCACTTTGTATATCCGTCTCTGGATATTGTCTAGGACTTCGAGATGGACAGCGGGAGCACCAGACCATATTTGGCTACAGTATTCCAAGCAAGGACGATTTATAGATTTGAAGAATGAACTCCGACGCGAAGAACCTTCTGGCGCGACACAGAGAACTAACTTTCCTCGCGGTAGATGTATATATGGATTCAATGTAGTTGTATCTATGGCTTCATCTACAGCAAAGAAAGTTCGTTCTCTGATCATAAATTGGTCCAAGCGTAGACTTATGTGAGTGTTAATGCGAACACACCCACATGTTTAAAGGCGTGTACATATACATTGTCTATATATGTGGCTTTAAATACGAACATGCACCTATATGTACGTGTGTGTCTATACATTGCGTGCATCTGTACATACGTATGTAGGAAGACGCCCAGGGGCATTGGTATGTACGCGCAGAGCGATGTGGGAGTGTTAAGGATTTTGCTAATTGTAAAAGGAATGTTTGGAATGTCAGCCTGACATTTCGAAACAAAAAAAAAGAAAAAGAAATTTGAAAAATAGTTTCAAAACATTACGGTAATTCAATGAATTTTTTTTTTTTTTTTGCTATTCTCTTTTCTTTATCGAAACGATATCAAAAGAAAAATTAATTTCTAAGTCAAGTGCTTATAAAATTGAATTAAAAAAATTGATAACTCACCAAGGATTGTCCCCAAGGATTGACCCCAGGGATTGCCCCCAGGGATTGCACCGGGCGGAATTCTCGTTTAGTCAGGAAATATTCGAATCCCTAAAATAAAATTATTTTTGTTATTTTGATTCCGTGCTGTGTATAAAGTTGGTTTCTGGTAAGAAGTTTTTAAAGGTTACCTCTCGTAACTTAAGAAAATAAAGATCAGTTATTCTTTACTCCACCAAGATAAATCGGATAATTTCGATATAGCCACACAGCTTTTTGTAATGACTCCATGTCTAAAGACAACGCCGATAAGTAACCGTAAATTCTATTCACTATTTACATTATTCGGACTATTGTCATCATCTTTGTTGCCATATTTATTACAACGTTTCGGCCATTGTACGTTCCGGCCTTCTTCAGGTGGTTGGAATGCCGAACTGAACCCTTAATCTCGCTCACTGTAGTAGACTGTTCTAGTTCTACCTTCAATGTCTAATGGATGTCAGTTATCAATTATTTCCTGTTAATTCCCCTCTCCAAGTTCTCCACCGCCTGAAACAGTATTGAATTCACACTCTTTGGGTCCTGTCACTGGATCTAACTAACGCCTTTATCCATTGTCCTCATATTATAATTTCTGTTATTATCATTGCATGTTTTTACCAGTGCTCATACTGCAATTCTTGTTGTTATTATTGCTTTTCTCTGTTACTCCTTATTACTGGTTCCCATATTGTATTCATTTCTATGCTTGGTCGGCTCAGAAGATTTGTGTGGCCTAGCATAATCCGATTAATGTAAATATTGTAAATAACACCTCATCTCATAAATCGGTTCTGCGTCAAGTTTTGGCACCTGAACGAATGCTACATGTGATAATATCTGATTATCTCTATATGTTTGTTTTATTTTCTCTTGTCAACGAAAAATATTATGTCGGATCGGGTAAAACGATTCAACGGAACACACACACACACACACACACACACACACACACACACACACACACACACACACACACACACACACACATATATATATATGTGTGTGTGTGTGTCAATATATATATATATGTGTGTGTGTGTGTGTGTGTGTGTGTCTATATTTCTGAGATGAGGTATTATCTACACTATTTACATTATTCGGACTATTGTTCTCATATTTATTACCAGATTTATCATAACGTTTCAGCCGTTGTACGCTCCGGCCTTCTTCGGGTGGTTGAGATGTCGAACTGGACCGTTTATTTCGCTGGCTGGGGTAGACTGTTCTAGTTCCACGTGCCATATTTAATGGATGTCAGTCATCAGTTAATTCATGTTAATTCACTTCTGTGAAGAGTTGTGAGTTCAATACCTGGTTAAGGCAATGGAGAACTTTTTCTCTTTGTGTCCAGTCACTGAATCAAGCTAACGCCTTTATCCACTGAGCCATGTGGACCTTTTACCACCTGAAGGTGGCCGGAGCGTACAACAGACGAAACGTTATGATAAATATGACAAAAAAGATGAGGACAATAGTCTGAAAAATGTAAATAGTGTACACGATATCTCATTTCAGAAACATAGACAGACACCGTAAATCCTATGCTAATACTTTCTTCTCTTCTACTTCGCCTTCAATTCTGTAGCATCGACAAATGCTTCACAGTTCTCATATAAAAAATAAAGTCACTTTATAACTTTTCTATAAATATTTTCATGGAAATTATTCCTCTGTGGTAACTCGACTTTACAAATTTAAGTACTTTACTAGATTGGCAGTTAGGTCTCATTAGGTTATAGTTGGAAATGCTAGATGCAACCGTAAGTTCTATGCTAACAGTTTCTTCTTTGGCTTTCACTGTAGTACCTCGACTTTACGAACTTAACTATTTTACTAGATTGTCACTTAGGTCTTATTAGTTTATAGTTGAAATTGCTAGATGCAACCGCAAGTTCTATGCTAACAGTTTCTTCTTTCGATTTTATAACTTTCTTCCTCTTTCTTCCAGCCAAATTTGTAATGTCAGACGTTATATTCCGTTTACTTAATTCTTGTTCTTTTATTTTTCTCTCTCCTTAATAATGCTTATTTTATCACGTTCTTTAGCATTCAGTATCCCGTCGCATCTTAGTTGATTCAATGCCTTCCTTAAGATTGTTATATGTTTCGTTGATACATTTTTTACGGCTTATCAACAATTTGCGGTTGAAAACTGAAAAATATTTTTAGAATTTTTCTGGAAGTTAATAATGACTTAGTGGTAAAAATCTTTCTATTTAACCCATACCTTGCGGGAGAAGAGGTTCATCTATAACTCCCCCCCAAGGGGTTTGTTGTTTAAGTGAATATAAAGAACCCAACGGGAATTGGAACTCGGCTCTCTGATTAATAATTCAGAGTCATTATCCGTTACACCACCTGCTCATCCAACCTTACAGTCTCTGGTATTTCCAATCGGTCACCCATGTAGGTACTGACCATGATCGACGTTGCAACTTCGTTGATCGTACTAGATACTAGAATGTTTCAACGTGACGTGGACATAAGCCCACTTGCTAGAAGGGAAAGGATTGAAATATATTATATATATATATATATATATATATATATATATATATATATGTTTCATTAAAAACGACAGACAAGGTACTACGGTTGAGCTTTTTTATTTAATTTTTCTTGTGTCCTGACAAGAGCTTTCTTTTCTGGACAAAGGATGTGTAAGAACTGTCCGAAATAAGAAATTTAAGACGGCCAACCTAAAAAATAACAACACACCAACTAAGTCAAAATTACAAAGACCGAACATTATCTATGAGTTCAAATGCCCTTTAAGGAACTGCGTTCCTCACCAAACCGGACTCATAAATAATTACATCGGCTACACAACCGCATGTTTATCCAGACGTCTTACATTACAGCTATCTGACCACAGTTCCATCAGAACACATTTAAACACACACTCAGATTTACCCGACACTATTAGGAACATACTAGTAGAAAACACACATATATTAACTGCATCCACTTGCAAAAAAAGACTAAAAATAATGGAAGCTCTAATAATAAAAAAGAAAAAGCCAACTCTTAACAATATTAATTATGAACAAAGCCACAAGGTGCTAACCGTATTCGGAAACTAAGAACACCACTACCACACACTGAACATACACAGAACACACACACTCTACTAAGCCGATAATCGAATCATCCTTGATAATGGCTAAAGATATAGCGGAAAGCGCTCGGAAACACAGAACATTCGGACAGTTCTTACACATCCTTTGTCCAGAAAGAAAGCTCTTGTTAGAACACATGAAAAATTAAATAAAAAGCTCAACCGTAGTACCTTGTCTGTCGTTTTTACTGAAACATGCATAAAGGAAGGATTTGCCAAATATAAATATATATATAAATATATATATATATATATATATATATATATATATATATATATATATCGTCTAAATCTTTTTCCGTGATTTTTAAAAAAAATGTTTTACAACACTGGAATTTTCCAATGATCACGGGAACTGTATCTACGTTCTCTGCAGTGATTCTCAAAATTAAAGAAATTTATAATTTAAATCAAAGGGAAATCGCGTTTACAGGTGTGTTATTTATAGAAAAGGCGAATGTTGGTTTCAGTTCTCCTCTTAAAAGAACAGGTGCCATTTCTCAGGAGTAATTTTTTTTTCTGATAATCCTATTATAATTGTTATTGTCTCACACTTATTAGTTTGCATGACCATTAAGCCCTGCCAATTCCTTAAATAATCACGTGGAAAGACGGGAAAACATTACTCGTTTTCGTGATAAAAAAAGAAAGAAAGAAAGAAGGAAAGAAAGAAAGAAAGAAAGAAGAAAAGAAAGAAAGACTTAAAAAAGATCTTAATTAAATGAAGAATTAATAGATTTTTTTTCTTATATCAAATTTTAATTCATCTTTGTTTCGAAGGTATTTATATATCTGACCTATTGCCTTTGTAAAGTTTTTGTCAAGATTACCAGTACGTAATACAAGGTGCTCCAAGATCAGGTTCAAGTTATGATAATTCAATTAAGATTAAGCCAAAGGTACCGTAAAAATGTTGATAACGGCCACCGTAAAATGCATGTTTTTTAACATCTTCAAAGAATTATCTGTGGTTTGTTTGACATCCTATTTTTGGCGTTCAAAATGGAACATGAAATAACGTAATATATTCAAGTATATACGGCCAAAAAAAAAAAAAAAAAAAAACAAATCGTCTAAATTTGACAACTCGATGTGGCGTAATGGTTGCCAATTAGTAATGGACAAGAAAGAAAGAAAGAAAGAAAGAAAGAAAGAAAGAAGAGAGAGAAAGAACTCAAGAAAGAGAGAACTCAAGAAAGAACTCAAGAAAGAAAGAAAGAAAGAAAGAAGGAAACAAAGAAAAAAGTAACAAAGAAGAGAGAGAAGGAACTCAAGAATTGGAGAAAGAAAGAAAGAAAAAGAAAGAAAGAAAGAAAGAAAGAAAGAAAGAAAGAAAGAAAAAAGGACCAGAAAGAAATAAAGAAAAAAGGAAAGAAAGAAAGAATAAAAGACCAGAAAGAAAGAAATAACAAAGAAGAGAGAGAAAGAAAGAAAGAAAGAAAGAAAGAAAGAATTGAAGAAAGAAAGAAAGAAAGAAAGAAAGAAAGAAAGAAAGAAGGAAAGAAAGAAAGAAAGAAAGAAAGAAAGAAGTGGAGTGAGGGAGAAACAGATTAAGCTGATATGAACAGTTACTACACTCTTAGGTAAAAAGACGTAGAAAATCGATGGCGGCCGCGACCAAAGAGCCATTTTTCAGACGCAGCGTACCAAAATATGGAAGCCTAGTAAGACAATCGCCAGCCATGTAGTTATCATAAATAAAATAACAACATCTGCTGAATTATTTTATAATGATTATTAAGACAAATGCTCATCATTCGTATATTCGTATTCATATTTCCTTCCGGGTCTCAGCCCGAGACCTAAGGTTAGAAATGTCTTTATGATATTTTTCACTGATCATTTTTGTAAAGAAACAAAATTTAAGATCCACATATTTTACATCAATAAAGGTTTTCGTGATGTGTAAGTTGTACTTATGAGTATCATTTTTTTGAATTTCTTTAAGGCATGGCCGACCAAGAATCCCTTCAATGTGTCTATCGGAACCTTTTCTAATCCTTCCGAGGACATCAACTACAACTGAAATTATGGATGTCCTCATCTGAAACATTTTTTAGATTTTCCTTTCAAGATCTTCGTATTTTGATAGTTATTTTGAAGATATTCAAAGATAAATTACAACCTGCAAGGATTGCCATATCAATAAGAAAGCATATTCTAATCTTGCAATTTTGATCCCGATGTCTGGGCGATTGTTTTAATTGTTCTGTCTGTATCTATTTTAAAGTCCCATAAAATGGTTATAAGTCCTATCACCGTAACCAGGCCAGGGTTGTGTTCATACAAATTTCTTGCGGTATCCTTCCCGTAAAAGTGGCATATTTTCCTGTGCAGATTTTAACCCACTCTTTTATGCCGCGTTTTATATTCACTTGAGGCTGACACTGCACGTCCTGTTACAAGATGGTCTATTGTTTCTAGATATTTATCACAAAAGCTGCATTTCGGGTCAACATCATTTTTCGTTATGCGTACTTGGTAATTTCTAGTTAGCAAGCATTGATACTGTGCAGCATCAATAAAACATTATTATTAATTAGTGAGAGAGAAGCACGTCGACAAGGTAATGTTATCATGACAGCCTCTTTGATAAGGTACAGTAGGCACATCCACAACAGCCAAATGATTAAAAAGAACATAAGTTAAGAAAGATGCGACTCATTTTATAGAAAATTGGCATGAATAATCTTCAAACTTTTCTCGGCGTATCTACTTTATCAATCCGTCGTTAACATCGAAGACTGCTACCTTATAAGGAAACAGCTAATATTACCATTATCATTACAGATGAGAACAGATACTATACTTTGATCCCAATAGGAATACCTGTTAGCGAGGAAATGCGCAACCCTAGTATTATTAGCTGCTCGGTCAATGAATGTTTCCTTATAAGGAAACAGCTAATATTAGCATTATCATTAGAGATGTGAACAGATACTATACTTTGTTCCCAATAAGAGTACCTGGTAGCGAGTAAATGTGTTGCCCTAGTATTATTAGCTGCTCAGTCAATGAATGTTTCCTTATAAGGAAACAGCTAATATTAGCATTATCATTAGAGATGTGAACAGATACTATACTTTGTTCCCAATAAGAGTACCTGGTAGCGAGTAAATGTGTTGCCCTAGTATTATTAGCTGCTCGGTCAATGTATGTTTCCTTATAAGGAAAAAGCTAATAATGCCATTGCTCTTAGATATGTGGAGAACAGAGACTACACTTACTATATACACCTTCCCAAACGGTGACGGCACATGGCACAAAGCCGGTTTTAAAGGGGGAATCCAAATGCGTGCCGATGGTCTAAGGTAAAAAAAAAAATCGCCCAGTCCCCGCATCTAACATCACACCGGAGTCCATATTCCCCAGAGTCTCTCTTTTTGGCACCACGAGGAATGTACTGCCGCAGGGTTGGAATCCCCGGGAGGAAGCAACTCATATTTATTTATTTATTCTGTTGCAGTCCAAAGACAGAAATACAACTTACAGATAAAATATGATTCATGAGCCGAAGGCAGATTGTATTGACTTTCCGTCACACGCTGGTAGAATGTGGCACAAGGTCAGGTTAATTTTGAGATCCCGGGCACGTGTCCCCCTGACCAGATTCTAAAATCGCCCAGCCCCTGCAAGTGGTGCTTACACTGGTAACAATATTAATACTCACCCCCTCTTTCTCTTTCGAGAAATGAAGGGAGGTACTGGCACTGGCACCTATTTTTCTGGAACTGGACAATTTTCAATAGTTTTTTCAGTTCCGATCTGTCCGCAGACAGGCCCACAACTATGTTGCGCTCTTCTCCGAAGACGCAAGCAACTGATAGATGAAATATATCTTCATCCGCATGAAGACAGATACTACACTCTGCTCACATCCTCATGGCAAGGGAATAAAGAAGAGTGTAAATCGAGTAACATTAACTCATCAGTTAATGAATGTCGAATGTTTCAGTAAAAGAAAACAGCTAATAAATAGCACCCTCGATTTTCGAACGTCTCACATGTTGAACAAATCGATTTTTGGAACAGAATATTCGAGATGAAAATTCCTCGTTAATCAAAACAATTTCGGTTCTCGAAAAACATTGCCAAACCGAGTTAACCCACACGGAATCATTTCTGAGTCGACCGCCTTTTTATATTTTGTGTGTTGTGCCGTGCTTTTCAAATTTTATTGTACTCTGCCTTTTTTTCTCTTCATTAGCCCTTAGTCTTGGCTCCAAACAAAAGCTAGCAGTAATACTGGTAAAGGAAAAAGAAATGTTAAGAGAAAAACAATTGTTGATGATATATCTCTTCCTGCTTAGTTTCATATGAGAAAATCAACTAAAATCTATACTATTCTCATAAATAAAGAGACGATCATCTCTTTCCTTCCCGTTTTCTAAATAATAGCTTGTCTTTTCTTCTCCTTCAACTTACGCCATCAACTCTCCTACTTAAAGGTACGCCAAAATTAAAATGTTCATCTATATTTTATCTATTTAGTATTGGGTTTATTTCTTTTTTTTCTTAGATTTAATGAATTTTATTAGTTTTATATATAAACTTGTGCACAAAGCACTGTTGTTTATATATACAATCATCTTGGGACCAGGAACAGATTAATAAATTTTACATAGATTCCTATTGGAAAAATAGTTTCGGTTTACGAGCATTTCGGGTTACGAACGTGCTTCAGGAACGAATTAAATGTGTGAACCGAGGTTCCACTGTATTACCATCAGAGATGAGGCAAACAGTTACTACACTTTGATTCCAATCTGATGACCAGACTATAAAAAAAAGCATAATTTTCATTCCAATGCTGCTCAACCAGTGTATGCCGTATATTTCCGTACAATGAAACAGTTAATATGACAGCATTACGAGTAAAAAGTTAATACTTGCAGCGTCTGATTCGTACGGATAAAAGATATTTTTCTATTGCACTCTCCATCCAAGAAACAGGCCGTTCATGTTGCTTCCTCCAGTATGATATTCAGTGTTACTTCTCTTACCTTGCTTGCCACTTAAGCCCAATCTACACAGTTAAATGACCTGGGGAGTGAGTAAGAAACGGATTCATGTTTTACCAAGGGCTTTTGTTCGAAATTGAATGCAACAGACGTATCCGGTATTTGAAATCAATTCTGCATTGTGCGGTAAGAATATCATGTTATATATCGCCCACATATACCTTCCACATATACCGCTCAGAAATGTCTCTCACATATATACTGTCCACATATATCGCCCACATATACTGCTCAGAAATGCCTCTCATATACATACTGTCCACATATATCGCCCACATATACTGCTCAGAAATGTCTCTCACATATATACTGTCCCACATATACTGCTCAGAAATGTCTCTCACATATATACTGTCCACATATATCGCCCACATATACTGCTCAGAAATGTCTCTCACATATATACTGTCCACATATATCATATACTGCTCAGAAATGTCTCACATATATACTGTCCACATATATCGCCCACATATACTGCTCAGAAATGCCTCTCATATATATATACTGTCCATATATCGCCCACATATACTGCTCAGAAAAATGTCTCACATATATACTGTCCACAAATATCGCCCACATATACTGCTCAAATGTCTCTCTCACATATATACTGTCCACATATATCGCCCACATATACTGCTCAGAAATGCCTCTCATATATATATACTGTCCACATATATCGCCCACATATACTGCTCAGAAATGTCTCTCACATATATACTGTCCACATATATCGCCCACATATACTGCTCAGAAATGTCTCTCACATATATACTGTCCAAATATCGCCCACATATACTGCTCAGAAATGTCTCACATATATACTGTCCACATATATCGCCCACATATACTGCTCAGAAATGCCTCTCACATATATATATACTGTCCACATATATCGCCCACATATACTGTCTCACATAAATCCACATATATCGCCCACAAATACTGCTCAGAAATGTCTCTCACATATATACTGTCCACATATATCGCCCACATATACTGCTCAGAAATGTCTCTCACATATATACTGTCCACATATATCGCCCACATATACTGCTCAGAAATGTCTCTCACATATATACTGTCCACATATATCGCCCACATATACTGCTCAGAAATGCCTCTCACATATATACTGTCCACATATATCGCCCACATATACTGCTCAGAAATGTCCACATATATACTGTCCACATATATCGCCCACATATACTGCTCAGAAATGCCTCTCATATATATACTGTCCACATATATACTGTCCAGAAATCTCACATATATACTGTCCACATATCGCCCACATATACTGCTCAGAAATATATATACTGTCCACATATATCCCACATATACTGCTCAGAAATGTCTCTCACATATATACTGTCCACATATATCGCCCACATATACTGCTCAGAAATGTCTCTCACATATATACTGTCCACATATATCGCCCACATATATATAATGCTCAGAAATATACTGTCACATATATCGCCCACATATATACAGAAATGTCTCCACATATATACTGTCCACA